TTAAGATAAAACTAGTACCATTGATGTCATTAAGAAGTTCATGAGTAACGTTCTTCTTTCAATATTTTCCCTAGAATGATAGAAAAAAAAGTCGATAGTGCTTGAAAGAAATAAGTGATAATGTGCAAGGTTGCTTCTAGCTACATAGTCAAACAACAAAAATTTACAAATATCATATTGTAACTATTCTTTGAATGTACAATCTAAAGTACAATTCAAAAGATGAGAAAGAAATATATTTTCAAAGCCAAGTTGGTTGTTAGAGTTTTTATTGAAATTAAAGATGTGAATCACAACAAAAATTTTTCAAGTGTAGATTGTTATTGTTGGACTCGAATGTTATTCTGATTATGAATAAAATGAATACAGTTTCAAGAAATTTTCATGAATCTTTGCAAGATGAAATTTACATCAAAAAATCAATTGGTTTCAAAAAATATGACATAGAAAAAATGACTTGTAGATTGCTAAAATCATTTTATGCATTAAAACAAGTTTTTAGGGATGAAGTACAAGATTTGATGAGTTCATGAAAGAACAAGGAATTACACATGGTGTGTACAATCCATGTGTACATATGAAATAGTAGCATCGAGATGCTGTGAAATAGATTTTCAGATATTTTAAAACTACTAAGGATTATGGTATTTTTTTGATATTTAGGGTTAGGGTTTAGGGTAACACTATGCTATGTAAATGCTGCATAATTTTGAAAAAAGGGATGATCTACAATTGTATATGTATTTTCATTTAATAGTGTATGCATTAGTTTAAAAATATACTTTGTAAATGTGCATGGCTAAGTTCACAATGAAAGCTAAATAGCTAGTGTGAATCGACGCACAAAAAACTCTATTTGGTTGAATTGACTTATTGTTGAGATTGAAGTTGTCAATCTCAATTATTATTGTGATTGTAAACATGCATTACATCTTGCTACAAATCAAGTGATAGACATGGGAATGAAATACATAGACATCAGACATTGTTTTACTATAGATTTGAATTCTTATAAAAGTATTAAGCTAGTCAAGGTAAACCGTATGTTCAATCTAGCTAACTCTGTAATAAAGTTATTCCTTTGGAAAAAAAATTCATTTAAGGAAATATTGTGTTACTTTAAAGAAAAGATTAATTAAAGTTTTTTATGCGTTTTTGATATTTTTAAATATAAATTTATTATCAGATGTTTTGGCTATAGTATGGTTCTAATTAGTTTTAGTTTAATGAGTAGCTTATGTAAGGTTTATTTTTAAATGTTTACTTAAATTAATAAAATAATTTATAGAAGTTACAACTACCATGACATGAATTAAAAGGATATTTTTAAATATTTATTCATGTTTATTCTTAAAATGTTTCCTTAAATTAATAATATAAGTTATAGAAGTTACAACTACCCTGACTCGAATTGAAGGGAGATTATTAATGATTAATTCATGTTTAATCTAATGATAAATCATGTTACTAATGTTAGAGTTTAGATTTGGAAGATTGTTAAATCTTAAACTCTAAAACCTTATAACACTAATTATATAAAAGAGTTAGCAAAAGCTCTTGGTAATTCTTTTAGGCCTTTTTAGTAAAGTTTAATATGTTTTCTTGTGGTCACGCTCGTAAGAATGTACCACGTATTTCCAGAGTCTTTGTGCATGCATGGCATGACTTAACCACTTAAAAATAGTGTCATTCTATATATGTAAATGACTTTCAATTGCGTGTGAAATACCTGAAACATATACTTCACAAAAAAATGATATGCAAGGGGATCTTATTATCAATCTAAGACACAATGTGTAGATTTTTTATTATTATTACGTATATATTTCGGATGAAAAATATGAAACCAAATTGTATTTGGCTTTTATGATTAGATTGCTAAACACAAGTTATATAGATATTAATACGAAGAGATGATTATTAAAATATTTATTTATTTGGTTATATGACTTATAAATTCACTTCTAAAATAAGAGCAAGGTATTTCTATCTGTAAGAAGATTTTTTTCCTGGAATATTTAGTCAATCAAAGTGTGATTTTTTTGTAAAAAAGTTTGTGATTGAAAATAAAAATACTATTTTAGTATCATATATGATATCCTAACTTGACTTCATCACAATTATTGCATTAGAGAAAATTAATTAACTAATGTACTATTATTTTTTCAAGATTTATAAAAATGATAAATTCTATCAGATCAAAGATATAGTATTTTTAGTTAAATGAATTAAAACAGAAATTCACGATACATGTACATATTAACAGTGCAAAAAAAATTAAAAATTGTATGATTTTTGGATTGTTAGATCTAAAAAAGTTTGAGTGTAAGTTTAATAAAAAAATACTTAAGATGAATATATGTGATAAATTTGTTATGAGTATAGACAATCAAATACATCCATAAGTGCAATATTGCTTGAATTGAAATCAACATGAGTAGAAATGCAGTTCGAAATCGTCAATGTTATCATGTTAAGACCTAACCAAGAGACTGATATTATGTATGCTTTATTGACAACAAATTCATATGTTTATGGATTTATTTCACAGAAAAATCTGAAAAAATTTTAATTTTTTAAAGCTGAGATAAAATTGCTCTCAAAATTATAAAATCCTTGTATAATAACAAAAATTATCCTTATAGATGTATACTTTTTTTTATTATGGGCAGATTAGAAGTGATTTCCAGAAAGAGTCAATCATCCTAAATTCATCATAAATTGTATTTCATATAATGATAATATTTTCATGAATCTCAACCGAAGTATTCAGGTTGCATGTTAAGTTAACGCATTTGGATTTCTAGAATATGTCATTGCTACAAGAAAAGATTCAACACCTTCCATCTTTATAACTGCACATCTCCATTATCCATAACCATTCCTTGATTTTACCTTTTATTAACGTAAACAACTTTCACATGAACATACTATTATAACAACAAGAATTTATTGTCATATCTATGACACTAAAGATGAGTCATGTTCAACGTCATTCTTACATTATACTCAATAATCAACAATATTGCTTATAAATAGACATTTAACATTGATAAAGAACATAATATATTATGGAAATGCTTATGTCATGCTCTTTTTCATAAAACTTGTTGAATATGAAATGTATATCACAAACTTTGCTTCAATTTAAATGCACATGATATCTGTCAAAGATAGATTGCTGAAAAACTTATTTTATGAGATAATTTGAAATTTTACAAGCACAACCCTACAGGCTTTTTTGCTTTTTATGCATATTTCTGTCATAATTTCTGTGATATTATGTTCATGTTATCGCACATGAACAATGTTTTGAGATGCAAAATAGGGTATCAAGTATTCATCTATATTATTTCAATACATGAAAGGTATTTTGTTAACAAAGGTAAAACATAAATTCCTGTATTGTTGATTATACTCCTGACTGTTTATAATCTATCACAATTGATAGATCCTTTCCTTAAGAATGCTTTGTACATAGATTCTGTATAATGAATCAATCTCTTATCAATCTTTAAGAATGTACCTATTCTTAAGGATTGATTGCTCAATTCTCTTGAATATGTAAAAATCATTAGCTTAAATTGTTTCAGTATTGAATTTTTCTTCCATCTTGATAAAATGAAATCTTCTAGTTTCTTCTACATAATAACTACAATTCATCATTTGTCTATCTCTGTTAAGAGCGATAAAAGATTTTTAGTTAAATTTCGCGTTTGATTGTGATTGATCCCAAAACAATTTTCATATCTTCCAGTTCTTTGATTTTTTCTTCAAAATGAGTTTAGTGCTCCTTTCCCATGAACACAGAATCTAGACAAATATTGAATTAATAATTGATATTATAAATAATACTCTCTAATTATCAGATGTTTAAATATTTAGATGTAATGTATAACTTCCAAAAATAGCGTCTGCATTGTGTATATAGTACAATTTCACCATGTGTATAAGGATCATAATTGTTGATCTACGGAAATTAGGATATAAAACATTTACTATTCAATGGTATCGGAGAAATCATATAGTACAAACTTGAATTTAGATCATATCTTGATCCGCACATCTCTTAAGAAACTGATGAACAAACTATGAACAATCCCTAGTTCATTGTCAGACATGTAGATTACAATTAACTTCGACAACTGAAGTTTGGATTCTATCTCATTTCTCCCATCGTCATACATCCTTCACATCCCAATATTTGCATGCCATTGCTCCATACTAACCAAAGTTACTTCTCGACAAGTGCATGAGTCACTGCATGTAGTGCAAGTATTTCATTTCTAAAACTTGAATACTTTACTGTATGAATTAATTGATATGACTAATGAGTCCACAATTGATTCACATGGTTTCTTCATTTTCTCAAATATTTCTCAATTAGCAACCAAAATTATAGATAAATATAAAACTCATAGACATAGATGTTTAGATAACTCAGAGACTTATGTTTATAAAACTCATAGACTCAGATGTTTTTTATCTGAGGATAAAAAACATTTTTTAAAACTAATGTATCCCATACTATTACTGCGATTCATAACTTTTCGAACAGAATATAGTCACAGTTAGAAGCGATTTTGTCTGACTTAGATAGTGATATATATATATATATATATATATATATATATTTAACTAAAGAATCCTCTACTGTCCATAAACAAAAATTAGAACCAACTTTAAGTTCAATTCTCACTCAGGTTAGTGATGCGCTATCCAAAACTTATATTCACGTCAATACTTGATGCTTTAATCTAGCGAAGCAAATGAATGACATACATGGACACAAGCATACTGTACGTGGGGCAGGGAGGTTATTGTCTTGTAGATCAGCAGCCACGATCGAGCGCTCCATCCTAGAGTGCGTGCGTACGTACTTAGAATCACAACATCAGACGTCGACAGATTCTAGAGCTAAATGAAAGTTTTAGTCAAAATATATCTGACTACAGCACAGAGCAACATTTCAGGTATTTGTACTACTTGATGAAATTAAGAGCAAGCGAGCATCAGACCAGCAGTTCATGACGGTAAATAGTAACTTATACGAGTATCACATTTTCATTTCCGTAGATAGGGAGATGCATGGAGTTCTGAAAATTTGATGGCAATTTCAGGAGGTGTAATAGATTTTACCAAGATAGATATTCATCCTTGTTTTGTTTTAAACAATGCAGAGGAATTATTTTTATAGTATTGTAGCGTGCGTAAGTCCAAGGAAAAAGTGTGTATGCACATGAAAGTGTATGCATCAGATATGAAGACAGCTAAACAGTAAGAAGACATAAAAACCTACCATCACCATAGATCGTATCTTTTCCAGTACTTCCACCCTGGAACAAATGCTTGATAAAACGGAAGTCTATACAAAGAGTTCAATAACACGGCAACTATATACATGTAGAAATTTGAGATCAATTTGTCGACCAGTCAGGTAAAGTTAGACAAGTTTCAACGAACTTTTGAATTGAAGATATAAACAAGATGAGACACAATTGGATTTGCTAGTCACTAGCAGCAGCGAGTGGGTCATTCAGAGACTTTCCTTCGCCTGTTGGAACAAGGGCTTCCCCCTTGTAAAAGTGCTGAAAGATGCTTGAAAAATCTTCGTTATTGTATCCTGCTTTGCAAAGATTGGAATACCTACAGCAGACGAACGAATCTTATTAATTACTACGCTGTAAATAGTAGCATCAATTCTCGCCACTCTCGTGGCATCAAATTCAACGAGATTAGCTGCCTCCTGTTTTCTCCTCACCCTAACAGAAAATTGTAAGGGAAGCAGGACCGATGCAAATGCATGAACACATACGTTCCAGATAGACGAGGCTTACTCACAGTTCATGGACTTGCAACGTAAGAGGAACTGAAATCCCAGTTTCTTTCGCAGCTGTCAATGCAAGCCCCAGGTCTTTTGACTGCAATTGCATAACAGTTAATACTTCAAAGGATCTGATTATTGAGGTGTGTTCGTGGATCCCCACGTTGAGTTCTAATTTACAAAGACTCATTATAATCGGTCTTGGTGGAAGAAATTCAGCTTAGCCAAGTACATGCGTTTTTGCTTAAAGTTCAGTCCGACTTATTAAAAACACAACTTTTCCCTTTCGAACTTAAGATCCCAGACAGAAATGAAAATCCGGAGTATGACTGAACAGAAAGAAAGGTAAATCTACCATGAGAAAATATTCGAGAGAGCTAAAACTTTGAACAGAGACCTTCCTTGTTGATGCATAAATTCCATCCAGCATAAATGAAGGATGTTTGGCACGAAGCATTCAAGTTCTACCATGTTGTAGCTTTTGAGACATCGCTAACTTTGGGTTTCAACAACATGAACAGTTTTGGATATACGCTCCTTAGGCAACCACAAAGTAAACTGAAATTAATTATACGTAGAACTTACCAACAGTTGACAAGAAAAACCGCCCTTATAATTTCGTGATGCTGGGACATCATCCATCAGCCCCGGAACTGGATTGTACGTGTCACTGAACACAAACGCATTCCACTGATCATTGTCTTTTCCACGTCATTCAAAATATGAAAGGATAGCCACTCAGCTAAAATCACTCCGTAAAACCTCCGGCGAAATTCAAGAGCAAGAACTGAAACAAATCGTATGTTAAATGGATAAAGTGCCCTGCCAGTACCTGCTCCAGCATCGAGCGCTGGAGGTATTGAAAATGTCTGACAGCGTCTGGGCATCTAGACCTAACCGCTGTCCCAGAGCGAGGCCTTCAGACACCCCTGCCATGCTTATTGCCATGGCTAGATTGTTGCAGATTTTCGCCGCCTGGGTGAGGAAAAACTCTTATTATTTATAAAGCAGACGGCGAGAAAGCTCTTGCATATGATAGATGCACATATTCTTACATCATATGTGCATCTATCTGATCGAGAAAATCGACTTTGGAGATTTAGTAATGTGGCATAATGAAATATGCTTACCGAGCCATTTCCTGCTCCTCCGCAATAAACAACTCTTTTGCCCATGATATGCAGCAGATGTAGTGCTGCGTTCAGGCCTATCTGGGGTCCACCAACCTGGAAGAGATGCAGGGATGAGCAGAGCATGCATGCACATATACATATTTAAAACCAAGAGTTCAAAACCAAGGAGAAGCATGAAGAAAATCAGATGATCAAGCTATTCCTGGTTGAATAAAGAATAACCATAAATGTGAGTGACGCTGCAGCCGCTCCTCCCACTCCACCAGATACTGGTGCATCAAGCATTATCGGTACTTCAGATCCGATGTGCCCTGCCACACCATAACGTTCCATTTTATGTATACTGATATCGTACGCTTACAACTCCAAAAGGTTATTAACTGGACGACAGTGTCACACGGCAGTAAAAGGACTTGTTCAAGACGGAATGTATACAATAAAATTATTGAGCCCTTCAATTCTTACAGCTTACTATAATCTCTCCAATCAGGATTGCTGAAGTCACCAAAACAGAATACGTGGATCACAACAATCACAAACGTCTTGTCTTGACTCACTTGCATTCCTTGACAACTTGCAATGGCCAACCTTGGTAGCCAGGTCGCGAGAAGTTTGCGGATCGATTGTAGAGCAGTCAATTAGCAGTGATGGTCTTATGCCTTGGACTTCACTGAGGAGCCCATTTGCACCTGTATAAACCTCCTCCACCTGACAAGCTGCTGTATTTTATATATTTGATACGTAAACATGCTTTCTGTAAGCTTAGTGACTGTGATAACTTCATTAACAATGATGGTCTTTGAGATTAAGATTACACTTGAAGAAACTTTGCTTCTGTCCCCAAACAAACGAATTATGTTTCAGAGAGGAAAACCTATACAAATTTGGTAAAGCTATACAAGAGGTCTTTTTTTAACCTGCTGAATAAAGTCAGTGGAATATGTGCACGATGCTTTGAATAATAATATGATGTTTCTTAAAAGGTGAGTGTTTGGTGCAAACATACATGAGAAGAAGCTGGCAACATAGAAATGATCACATCACTCTGTTCTGCAAGTTCATGCGGTGATTTAGCTTGAGAAGCCCCTTGTTTAGCCAGAAACTGCATAGCAGCATCACTCCTGAGTAATATGAAGTAAGAGCGGGATGTGTTATGATCATACTAAGCACAAAGTATTTCTCAGACAGACCAGATGAATTCCTCGCATTCGAATTATGTTTTCACATCATATTTTCCTGAATCTTCTGTGAAAGCAGAAATTTCAAGCACAAGGAAGTGTTTAGCGTTAGCCAAAAAGTTGAAAATCAGCATATAAACATTATATACTGGTTGTAATGAGCATAAAGGAGACAATTAAGGGCGAGTTGATTCATTGAGTTAAAAAAAGTGTGTAAGTTTACCTGTCATAAACACACAGTGAATGTCCCGCCTTGAGCAGGTTAAAAGCCATGTGCGATCCCATATTCCCAAGTCCGATGAAACCCACATTCTGTTGTCAGAAGGAAATCAGAACATGTTAGATTGTGGATGTCGAAACCTTGCTTTTGTGGAAAACTTTAAGCAACATATACGAGAATTGTAGGAAATCAATTTGCAGCCTTTTATTTTTTAGCTAAACCTCATCTTCTTTGACTTCCAAGGAGTTATGATGACCATCTAGAGGACTTTCAGTAGTCATCCACATATTGATATGTAGCGTAAAAACTTCTCATCTTAACATCTTTTCTCTTTACACCAAACTGCTGATCAGACCTCTGAACCTGAAGACTTGCTGATAAAGCATACTGTTTACACCAATTGCGAAGCGTCAAGAATATAATTCAACTCATGCTCTGTCAGCAAACAATAGCCAAGAGAAGTCATGCAAGATCATAAAAAATAGAAAATTAGTTCAGACAACTCACTAAACACTCACTAAAAATGACAGACAGAACGTATGCTCAAGAAAAATCTTCCTGTAGCAAAAATTAACATTTCAGTCGAAAGATCGAAAGAGAAGTCAGCTCTTTTAAGCGCACAAAATACAATGAAAACTGATCCATTAAGAAAACCGCCTGACGAACACCAACCTGAAAATCGTTTGTGGCCTTGGAGTACGGCCTTGAAGGCGAGTAGTAGGTCTGTCCTTGTTGATTAGCTGGATTAACGGATGAGACGCAACCGCTTTTACGTGACCGCCATCCTCTTGTGGAGGAACTGTCGATGTATTTCAGCAGAAAACAAGCTCTCTTCATGGACATCAATTCTACAATCGGAAGATAAATTCTCACAGGAGAAGTGTTGGGATGAATTTCAGCTGGCTGACTGTGTCCAAGTGTTGATCTTACGTGTCACAATATGACGAGATTGAAATTGATTTGTCAAGAATGTGCTACAGGAGAAAGCGTTCTGGAACAAAGGGTGGGCTTGCACTTATACTTGCAACGTTACCTGATCTCACAGCGACGGAGAAGGGAAGCGTGCCTGAATACTTGGTGTCACGCTGAGTCAATGATATTCCGTATGATGAGAATTCTGCTTCTTTCTCCTCGGGTACAACATTGAGCTCGATGGAAACGCAGCCAACTCAGCCTGGAGAGATGGGCTTGACCACGTGCTGACTCAGGCACATTCTCTGCTGAACAACATACATTCAGTGGTCCACTGAATGTGGGGTACGTCTGGAAGTGATCGAACGGTCAACTTCCAAAAAGCCAAAGAACTGAAGATGGTCCCACCCCACCCAGCGCACAATTTTGTTCCTGGACACGCCTTCGACCCAGCACCTCAACCCCTCGCGTCTCTCCTCTGGCAGAAGCTCGCGGTTCTTTATTTCTGAGGACTTATAAATTATATTTTGCTCGCGAGTTTTCACAATATCTATGTTTTGCTGCTTTAGTCGATGTAATGACCGCTGGCTGCCCAGAAACCTTTAGGCTATTTCGTCTGAGCGATATATGTATGAGTGGCACAGCTTTGCAGAACTGAAAATTTGAAATACGTTCGATGCAATTCTGCTCATTCCACTTTGGATTAAGTCTTGCATGTGGTCTTGAACACAGAATCTCCTCTTTACAGTTGTAATCATGCACCAAGATGTTGAAATGTGGCAGGAATATGTAAGTTGCAGAGTCATTACCAAGACCGATGTTGAATATTTAGAACAGTCGCAAATAATTACAAGTGTTTCTAGACAAGAGTGCCGTTTCCCCATAAATTGTAATCGTCAGTTTGCACGATAATCTTCAACAGATATGGGGTGCCGAAAAACTCAATGGGACCGACAACTTCACCAGCATTTTATAGCATCCAAACATTTTTAACATGAAAGCTGATTGCATGTTGAGCATGAAGTGCACACACACGCTGACTACAGACTTTTATGAGGAAACGTTTCATGACATAAGTGTGGACTTTAATGTGGGGAAAAAATCTGCAGACATATTTGAGACATGCAGTTTGGAATAGAACGAGAAGTCTGATATATTTCACTTTCTATTTCTCTCACTTCAATGGATGCACACGCTTCACTCAACAACACAATTATGGCAGAACCGAAATCTACTACGATGTAGTTGGAAGAGACATGAGGGTTTAGGCAAATGACCGGTGGAAACGACTTGTGTTATCTATCTGCATGTACGACTATCTATCAGGTGAACTAAACGTAGAGACCTAGAACCCTCTTCCTGGAACATTTCTCGTTCTTGTATTCAATGACACTCGGACCATCGAGAGACTACATCGGTAACAGCATACGACATATCATGCTACAACTGCAGATCTCAAGTCTGCACGGACGGCGCCGATCAAATATAAACTATGTCGCCTTAACCGCTCGTCCGAATTGACTACTTGTTTGTCACTCGAAATGTTGACAATAGTCAATGAATTTTTTTTATAGAATGAAGATACAGTAAATGGAAGCAGAAGCTATAGAATCAGAGATGAAGCAAATCTACAACAAGCTAAATAGTCCTGGCGCATTGCGAAGGAAAGGACCGCCATACACTATTGTTGAGTACCATTGTATCCACAAAAATTTACAGCCTTGTAAACTCTGTTCTGTACGCAATTGGCACAATTCCTGATACACTACAAATGGATAATCCCACTCGACACGAAGGTACCGACGGTCCGATGTACATGGCTCGTGAAAAAGCGTAGAAACAGTTGGCACCGCAAGACTCACGAGGCGAACAAAACCCCGCTGTCACCTTGGATGACCTAAAGCGGGTGTTGTAACCCGACCCGTCATGCTTGCTAAATCCGTAGAAGCTGACAGTCCACCCGTTCAGATTAGGACCCGGTAACACTTAGGCCTGGAAAATCGCCCTACGTGAGTTCAATATATAAAGACACTCCGGCAGCAGAGATTGATAGATAGGTTCAGCGGAGTCGAAATCTTGAAATTTTCTGGTTCTCACACCTGTTCTTACAGATTAGGGTTTCAATTCATGGTATTCTCTGCAGGTCGAGTACTGCCGAATTCGATTGTGGATTCTAATCTTTGTCCATTTCGCATTCAGTTGTGCCCTCCTGTAGATCACTGATCTCTCAGAGACAGATTGAGAGCGGCTGTGTATTGTGAAGCGAACTGGATGGATACACTATTGACGTGCGAGTGTAGCCCTTGAACTATCCACGGCTTCCACGAAGGGGCTTCAGTGCGCAACCCATAGCACTTTGTTGGTATTGTGCTTCTCGAAGATGTTTCGGAAGTGAGTTGTGATCTATGGCACCCAGCACACGATGAAACCCTGAGAGGACAAGATGTTTAATTGTACCCGGTATGCAATTCGGGCACGCCAACCTGCCACGGACAAGGTAGCTCTGCGTGAACCTTGAGCCGTCCAGGGTTTGCGAAGATAAAACCTTTCACTTCTCGATAGGAAGCCACTGGTGAGGCTACGCCAATTGCCTGTGGTGCCATTTAGGGTGATTACATCCCATTATCAATTCGAGTTGTAATTTGAGCTAGTTTCCTGTAACCGGACTCTTTCTTTTATCTTGTATGTAAGGATCTCAATTGTTAAGGTAGGAAACTGATAAACAGGGTCGTATTTCGTTTCGATAGCAGTATCTAGTGCAGTAATTGAATCGAAGCCCCTGGATGATATTAAACCCATAGGAAGAGCCGTATGACGACTCAAGTCTCTAGCATGGTATCTGTACGGCTGACTTTTCCGTGTGCTCTCTGTCCTGTGTTTCCTCTGGCTGACTGGACACAGAGAAGTCTGTGTTGTCTTAGTCGCTGGAAGAAGTGCCGATCAGATTGAGCTACGAAGAAGAATGTGTCGGACATGTCGCTAGTGATGAATGATTTTACAGTGGGTTCTGAGGGCCAATTGCTAAACTACAATGCAGTGATGAAAAACAAGTGTTTCGGACTAGAGTTTCTGATCTGGTTCGCCAGGCTGACGAGAAACCTCTTGGCTGGCTGAGCATTATTAATTATCACCTATGAGGCCTATGATTAAATTGCAATTAAAATAACACCATCTTTCGGGGCGTAATGCCGAAAGGCTTGACGATGATTGCTAATATGACGGCCTTTTATCAACATTGACAATCATCCTGGACAAAAAAGCAGGGATCTGCGATTCTCATGAGCAACTCCCTCGTCAGCTTCAGGAATAACAAAGGTGCCACTAATGGGTGAGCTGGTGTGTGGTTTGCAAAGGCCCTATCATGAACAGTTCAATCAGTGGTTCCATATCACAAGCCGTAGATACTTAACTACTCGGAACACTAACACATCTTTAAAAGCAAGAGAAAATAATGTACTTCGAAAAATATGTATACCTAACGCATGCAGATTGTGTACATAACAAGAAAAAATTGTGGATCATTTACTTTTCAATAACTTTATCAATTTGGAGTAAAACTATTGTACCAAAGAGAAATAAAATGAATATACGAGAAGGTGAAGTAAACCACTGTCCCACCCACCAATACTTACTGTACTGGCTAGTATCTTCGCGCACAATGCAAAGGTGAAAGATGACAAAGTAAGCAATAATCTGGTCGGAGAAGAATCCGGATCTGATGGAAGAAAACCTATCTTAGACCATACATTGATGAAAGTGCTGTACGAGGACAATGGTGAACATGTAAATCGTTTCTCAATCTGTCAACTCCTTAACAATTCTACACGACTTCAATCATAACGCGTGGGCAGACTTGTGGAACAGAATGTCCATCTGGCTAGTAATAAAAGTTTCAAAACATAGATCACAAACCTGCAATCACAGGGCAGGAGCGAAGACAGGACTTGGCAATCTAAGCTCGCTCACAAACAAATTGAAACTAAATGACAAATGAACTGGAACAATACATCAATTGCGAAAACATATGCAAAATTGAGAGCTAACCTGCAAATAATGGCGATGCAATGAGAGAAAAGATGAATCTCATGTTGAGAAAAGAAGCAGTTAATAAACAAAAACCCGGTGAGTATAAATATTGATCTAATGAAATATCAATAAATCGGCAATATAGTATGTAAACTGGAATGCAATAAGCAGTGAGAATAATTCCTGAAAAGATACTGTATACTAACATACTTCACATGTCTGTGTAGATCCAAAGATTGGATTAGTTGCTCCAATTGGATCAATTGTTCTACTTTCGCGTCATTACACCAAGGAAACCAAATAATTGTATCACCTACATACCAAAGGTTTCAACTGGTATCTTCATCCGTAATAATCCTTTCGCATATGACTGTGCTGCTCCAAAGATTGCATCAGTTACTCCAATTGAATCATACATTCTACCTTCGCGCCATTACACACAAAACCCTAATTATTGGAACACCTTCATACAAAGGTTTCATGTTTTTATCTTTACTCACCTCCCGCAATCAAGACTTAGCGGCCATTAATTGCCGAAGTAAGTATTGCCTTTTGGAGATGTGTATTCAAAGCTCCACAACCTTGCTGAAACGATAAACTTTAAACTCAGTCTGTCACGCTAGTTTATGCTCTTTAGGTGACGAATCTCCGACACTATATTTGATTTTTGTACCTCATTTAGCTACTTGGACCAATCATCTTGTCGTCTGATCACTTTGTTCATGGTCTGAAGAATCTTCACACATCCTTTATGCATTCCAACTTAACACAAACACATTAAGGAATTTTTCTATTTTGATGCAAATTGTTCTGAGTGTCTGTAAGCAATCTAGCAACTAAGATAGAAATTATTTTGAAGAGATGCACGGTAATACTTTGAAGAGTTGCACGGCACTCATTACGTTAGTATGAGTCTTTGCTACTTTTTGATATGATTTCAAACAGTTATTCACATGGTAGGGAGTAATCCTTATAAGATTTCAAATTAAAATAAGATGTGTAAATGTGAATAATATAATTTTTAAATCTTTCTGTTTTCCAAATGTTTTGAGTCGAAATGCAAGTGTAGAATAAAATTTTTTTTGTAAGAAGTTGTTGATGCAATTTCTTTTGCTCTCAACTAGATACAAAGCCTGTGAAGAATATTGAATCAGTATGGAAGAGTTGAGTGTAATCCACTAATAAAAAAAACTTCATATACAACTTGCTTATCTAGATTGGTCTAAATTTTTTTATTGAAAATATTTTTTTCAAATTAATGTTTGAATGTTTATGTTCAAATTGATTTTGATAAAATGATAGATTTGTAACTTCTCTAAATTATACCTGTAAAATGCATTACAAAGACATATAATTAATATTGTTCAACAAAAAATTTGTGTGAATTTTTTTTCAAAAATAAACTCAAATTTTGTATCTTTGAAAAGGAATAATCAACATATGTTGTTACAAAAATATTTTTGCAACAATCTTTACTAGTTTATACGTATAAAATTCAAAAAAAATAAATTTAAATGTTCTAGT